TTCTGAAGAGGCTATAGAAGATTTTAGGCTCCTCTGGGAAATAAGTCAATATTTACTTTAAAAATGTCAAGTTTTTATAGCTTTGAGATTATGAAACAGTGTCTCCAAAAACAGTCAAAATTTTGGCTAAACGATATGTTCCATTCTGCCCCTACCCCCCATGACACAGATGACAAGACCTCTGGATTTAGACCAGCTCGGTAACAATATTTGCAAAACAGATTTAATTGACTGAAAACTGAATATGAGCAGCAGCATGAAGTGACTGCAAAGAAGGCAAATGCAGTTTTAGGCTGCAACCACAGAAGCATAATTTTCAAATAACTGGAAATAATTATTCAACTCTATTCTGCTTCATACAGTCCCCACCTTGAGTACCATGTCCATTACCCTTTAAGAATACAGGAAATGGAATAGTGGACTCAGTTAGAGGAAGACAGATTCTAGTTGAAAGTTAGACCAAACTTTCTCATGCTAAGAGCAGTTCAACAGTGGAAATAATTACCTAGAGAAGTAAATGGGCTCCCTTTCATTTGCTGTGTTCAGGTGGAGGTGAAACAAATTAGGTTGTTTTAATTTGGATTCCTGGCCTGAAAGGGTCATTGGACTCAATGACCTAAACAGCCCCTTCTGTGATTCTCTGATTCTATCTTGCCACTTTGGTTAATTTTTCATCCCATCTGGGGCTTCTAGTCTAGGAAGAGCTACAGTACATCATAATAACCATGTTATTAATCCCCAAATCTTCCAAATAACAAGAAGACAAGTGTGTGTGTCTCTACTACCCCAAAATATGCTCCTCTATTTGTGCCTCGTGAGGAATATGTATTATAAACCAAATAAACAGTGGGTTTTCTCATTAGTTCTTGGCAGCGCCAAAGAACTGAACCATGCAAAGTAATTTCTGATGCCCCCCCCCTTGCCTGAAAGGTATAAAGCCACTACAGCTGTGTTATTAAAAACTTATAGATAATTAAGTGGCAGCCTAAAAGATGCTAAATCCTGGAACTACATGCCAATGACACGCAGCAGGGCTAAAACACATGAAGAGGGAGAGGCCTCACCTTGGCCTGCATGCGTTCCTTGCCAGTGATGAATTCAGCACTGCCTCCCGCAGCTCGAGCAATGCCTTTGATGAGAGCCGTGGACGCCCCTTCCCCAATGCCAAAGGAGAAGCACCTGTTGGGGGGGGGGGGGGAGGGCAGAAGCTGATGGAAGCCAGGAGAAAAGAACAGCAGCAAACCAGTTTCACCCTCTCTACTTACCTGTGGGAGCTACTGTGAAGTTGAACTTCAGCAATGGCCTCATTTGTATTGGACACCTCTCCATCGGTGAATACAAAGAGCTGTGGAGACGGAGAGAGACATGAAGTCAAAAGTCTAACCTGACCACCAAGGTGCCTAGAAGCAGGTGAGAAGAAATTTAATTTGAACTTCCTATGGAGGGTTTCAAGAGATGACAGGACTGGAAGGCAACC